TTCGGCCACATCCTGAGTCGGCCGGCGCGAGCGGCCGAGGACCAGCAGGTGAACATGTTCGGAGCACCGAGAGGCGGCATCGAGAGTCCGCGCGGGCCGAAGCTTTGGAAGAGCTTGCTGCAGGCCGCGGTTGGGACTGCCGCCAATGTGGCGGAAGGAACGTCAAAGCACGGCTGACGTGCTATAAGTGCACGTGCTCGAGAGGGCCCATGCGAGCAGGACAGCTCGGATGATGTCGTGACAGAGGATGAGGATGCATTTCGCCAGTTCAGTCGCAAGCCCAAAAAGAGGGGCGGGCGACGGCATCCTGGCAAAGGCGACCGCAAGAAGCGCAGTAGAAAGAAAGTGCGGAGGCCTGGTTTCTCGAGCCGGAAAGGCCGGAACAAGAAGGCCCATGCTGAGCATGGCAACCAATTGAACCTCGTTTATTGGGGAACCATGCTTGCCCTCATCCCTCTTGGTTACAAAGGTGTGGTCCAGATTGACAATGTTGTGGAAGATGTCATGGGGAGTGTTTCGGTCAACACGGTCCTCTTAGTCGACAAAATGGGTTCGCAGGGAGTTGCTCTTGTGGAGACTATGGGGCTGTTCCTGCGGGCTACCTTGATGGGCATGTTTGTTGTTTTCATGACGTGGTGTGGTTGGACAGTATCCCGCAAGTGTAGGAACAAAGCCATGCACCGACTTCACGGCAATATGCTTGGGGAAGGCCAGTGGACCAAGAAATTCATGACAAGGACGGGTCATGTCTTTGTGACAGAGGAGTTGGTCTTGGGACGGAATGTTATGAAGTGTACCTGCAAAGCGTTCATTGACCTGGGTACGGAATGCCAGCACATTATCGTGGCCAGGCAGCGATGGGCCGACCAGCCGCTGACCGGCGGTGTGGCGTCGACGATAGGCGAGGATCGGGCTGGGGGCGCCGGAGAAACCCTCCAGGCGGCCCCCATTCTTGATGAAGTGACCAGTCCGGGATTTTCGCTAAGGTCGCGTTCGGCTCCATCTAGGAGTGAATATGTCGAAGTCGGTTGTCTTCAAGGCCTAGTGAGTAAGGCTAAGGAGCTGGGTACCGGGAGTAGGAATAAGCAACCGAGAGTGGCCAGTACGCTCGCGGGCAGAGTTCAGGTTTGGTCAGGGACGATTTCTCGAGTCCGTTGGCAACTTCGGAGGGAGCCGTGTTGTATTTGCAACAGGTGCTCAACGACATTCGTAAGGAATCGAAACCCCCGGGATCGTTGCGATCTGACCACCTTTCCAGGCTTAACGCGGCTGTGTTCAATCTTTCCGGGCGAGGCGCTGTGGATGGCGCTTTGGCGCTCAAGGTCTTCCAGACCGTGGATAAGATTCACACTGCATACAACGCGGAGAAGTATGACAACTCGGATTCTGCCTTCTTCAGTAACTATTTGGCCTTGCTGGGCACCATGCAGAATCAGGTCTTCTTCAGCCAGAAGCAGAATGAGAAGTTTGTGAGCTGGATTAAGCTAGCCGTCGATGGGAGCGGCAAGCTGGTTCACTTGCTAGACAAGGCGCTGGAGACTGAGAATGAGAAGCTGCGACTGCAACTTTCCAGGCTGGAAAGATCGGATGAGCCGAGCCGAAGCAGTACTGAGCCCAGATCCAGGGCCGGATGAAGGGTATAAGGAATTGGCCACTGCCCAGTGGAATAGGATAGGGAGCCCCCGCAATTTGAAGGATGGGGCTGTTCCCACAATTAAGGATGAGAATGCTCTGGAGTTGCATTCCCCGCCGCGGCTGGAGGCTGCAACTGGGGGCGACTGCAGATCTTGGCATTCTCATGCATGATTTTGTCATTGCAGCCATAGGCATTAGGCTTTGGTAAGTGAGCTATTTTTTGCTTGAGGTTGCATGAGTGGACATGTCTTGCAAGTTGACATGTCCACCTTGAGGAAGTTGGAGTGGCGTGCCTATTTTGGCTCAAGCCACATGCGCACGGTGAATGAGTGCGCTGCCTGTGAAAACAACGAGCCGCTTCGCGGGTGTGCCAGAGAGTCGGGACACGGGTGAGACGTGGATTCTGGGTTAGTCCTTGGTTAGGATTAACGCCTCTCACAATGTATGTATGTATGTATGTATGTATGTATGTATGTGTGTATGTGTGTATGTATGTATGTGTGTATCTATGTATGTATGTATGTATGTATGTATGTATGTATGTATGTATGTATGTATGTATGTATGTATGTATGTATGTATGTATGTATGTATGTATGGTATGGTATGGTATGGTATGGTATGGTATGGTATGTAATGTATGTATGTATGTATGTATGTATGTATGTATGTATGTATGTATGTATGTATGTATGTATGTATGTATGTATGTATGTATGTATGTTATGTATGTATGTATGTATGTATGTATGTATGCATGTATGTATGTATGTATGTATGTATGTATGGGTGTATGTATGTATGTATGTATGTATGTATGTATGTATGTATGTATGTATGTATGTATGTATGTATGTAATGTAAT